ATACACTTCACTCAGCCCATTACCAACTAATGCGGGACTCATCACACTTGAATATCCCAACACGGTAGACACTTCCGAAAGCGTAACATGGATGAAAGCATACTAAACACCACAATGATTATCCCACTGGTTTATCCTCTGCATCTGTTGATGCTGGTAATATGAAGATGACATATGGTTATTAGTTTGAGATTTGTTAGTTTGAGACAAGTGAATTTGTCTCCAATTATCTTCCCTAGACCATAGGGGAGCCGAAGTATTTGGTTTCAATATTTTTTATTAGTGAGGGGTTTGACATTGTATCTGCATTAGATTGCGTACACTTAAGAACTCTTGAGGAAATATGTTGTCCTTATTTAGAGGTCATGGTGAAGGCCTTTTAAAAGAATTTACGCTACTTTGATGGAGATCTCACATACAAGGTATATGGTGTTGATATTGTCATGACTTCTGATGTTTGGATTGAGTTGCTTGGATATACTTTTGGTACCACTGAGGATGTCATGCCTTATGATGGGGAGCGCCATACTACCATTCAGGGTTATAGGCGTGCTGACATTGTTCCATATGTGAAGAGGTCTTATGTGAGACTTGCTCAACATAAACAATTTGGTGTTGGGTTGCTCATCGTTGTTTCTAGGATCCTTTTTTACATCATGACTCATATTATATTCTCGTTACCTCATAATCACGGGAAGGTATTAGAGCGTGATTTGATTGTTATGTGACCCATACGTAATAAAATGGAGGTCAACTGAAGGCATTATATTTCCTAGAGCAATTCCAAGTACCCATGTAAGTTGAGACTTTGAGAGGTTGGAACCATAAGTTTGTGAAATGTCTGCTAGAGCAGTGCAAAATTACCAAGCCAAGAAATCTGTGGCAATGGAAATATGAGTTTGTGCTTAAAGTAAATTTGGTGGATGTGGATATGGTTGAGGCTGATTACGGTAATGGTGACGAAGATGGTAAAGATGTTGTTGGTGTTGTTGGTGATGGTACTAATGAGGAGATCCACTTACCTACGGATAGGAGAGCATATACTCTACATGATGTCTTGACCTACGTCCATTCATGAGACGAGGGTTGATGGGGTTTACAACATCATTGGAGATTACAAGTCTGTTTAAATAAAAATTGAACTAATTTTTGTAAGACATTAGGAAAGTGGATTCTAAAATTGTCGTTTAAGAGCTTGATATTGGATAGGGATTATCGTAAGTGTTTTGAACCCACGAACCCCTATATGAGGTGCAAATATACATGAAAATGACATAATATGAATAGATTACATAAAAATGAATCAAACCTAACAAGTTATAGTGAAAAACAACAAAAAATCTTGTTTTAACATCTAGAATTAAATGAAGATTGCCCTTAATTGTATAAGACCCACAAACACTCATACCAAGTCCATTTATATATGAACAAGGCATTAAAACTTAATTTAAATGAAAAATATTTGTGAATCTGAATTTGAGTTGCCCATTTATCTTGTTTATAGTCAAGTAAAAAAGACGGATTAACTCAAGTAAATGAATTACTTTAAGTACATGATGCTTATTTACTCAAGTAAACTATTTACTTGAATAAATGAGTTCTTTTAATAGAGTAAAGACTAGTCAAACTTTAGTCATATTAGGATGAATTGATATATCATTTGATAATTTAAATTTAAAAAGAGGGTAATTGATAATAAAATTTTAACAAATAGAAATAAAATTTTAAAACACTAATTCAACCAAACAACCTTAAATGATTTTATATTATATCTCCATGTAAAGCAACCATTTTACTCAAAAACTTACTTATAAGTGATGAAACATTAATAATTTTATATTATATTTTTTAACTCAAATAATTAATTAATAGTTAATATATCTGAATAAGTTTTTTATTTTTTTCCCTTATGATTAGACAACTAATGCAAATAATGGTTTTCAAATAGGAGGTCCATGACAACCATTCTATTATCCTGCAGTGATTCTGATATAAAATATTTTTTTCTAATTCTGTTCCTTGAAAGAGTTCTGAGAATCAGAATTACGTTTATTAACATGTTTTTTATTTTTATTTTGAGAATCAGAATTACGTTTGATAATAAAATACAAATCTATTTATTTACTTTTTGTTTACTGATTTCATCAACTGTATAAAATAACAAATTGCAATAGATTTTAACTAAATGGCACATTTCATATTTAAAAAAAAATTATCTAAAAAATTATAATATTTTATTGTGTAATTTTTTTTTTTGCAACAAATGCTACAATATAGTTCTAATTATTATTTTTTATCCTCTTCTCATTCACCTAATTGCCTCTCGTTTCTCATCCATCCCTCTCGAATAAAACCACAATGTTAATAACTATCAGCGCAACGCCATAGTCATCAATTAAGAACCTTCTCTTCTTTTTATGATTTTCTGCTATGACTCTAAACTTGTGCACTCCTTGCTTCTCTCCCAAACTCTCATAAACATGTCCAACTACGCCACCAACCTATCGAGATTCCTCAACGCTAAAGCTTCCGTCAGTGACAGCCATAATGAAACCTCTGACGACACCGTTTTCGAGTTCGACCTATTGGACCAATAACTTGTGCTTTGAGTTGCCGATGCCACCAAAGATACCGACCAGGCATTGTAAATAATCACCAATAACTCTACCAGAAACGGCAGTGTCGTTTCCATCTCCGATTATTGCAAAAATTAAAAGCAAAAATTTAACCTATAACATTCAATTAGGTGGTAAAAAGAAAAACATAAAAGTTTTTTACTTTTTGTGTTCCGGAACGAAGAAGCAATTTTTTTTTTTTCAGCAAAAAAATAAATCAATTTATCACGAGAACAAATAAATAAATTAATTTTATTAAACGCTGTTTGTATCCATTTCTGTTCTGGGAACATAAAATAAAAATAATAATTGCATCTTTGTTCTTACTCAGATTGCTGCATAATGATTCTTCTTTTACATGTAAAAAGAAGAGATTAAATTTTACCAAAAAAAAGAGATTAAGAATAGTTAAAAATTCTTTGGTTATTATGTAGATATTTTTTGGTAAGCAATATGTAGATTTTTTAGTTTAGGACTCTTTACTTTTCAACTCTTTATTTTTTTTTTAAAAACACAATTTTTAAAAAATTGATAAGGCTTAAAAGAAGTTCCTCTTACGAGTTCTAGTGTTTTTTTTTCATTATAATTTTTTTTTATTATAAGAACTTTTTTCAAAATCTATTTAGTCTAATTTCTGTTTATAAGAACTAAAAAAACTAAAAACAAGAGAATCCAAACATGCATTTACTAAACACAAATAAATTCAGGGAAAAATATTTGTCATTTTAAATGACACAACTTATATCCTTTTACTCTGGATAAATTTTTGGTGCTACTGTTGCACCAAAGATTCAGTACATCCCATCAATGAAAATATAACATATTAGCTAAAGTTTTCTTTTCTCTGTCAAATTTTCTCTCTCTCATATGATGTGTAATACTCTCATTAATATGATGTACTGAATCTTGGTGCAACAGTAGCACCAAAGATTTATTCTTTCACTCTCACAAAGAGGTGGACCCACACCATTATATTTTTTTGTCAATTCTCTCTCATCGTTTATCTATCTCTCACTTAAAATGACACATCTATACATCTTTAAAATGATAGACACGTTTTCCATAAATTAAACCAACAGCAAACACAGCAACATTTCTCTTCAATTAGGATCTCATTGAAGGAGAAAGATCGAACCTTTTGGGGAATTCAATATCTCTTTGCAACTGCAAATTCATCTCCAAGCCTCCCCCATTTCCAAATCCCAAACCTGCATCTAACCTACATGGAGCTGGAGCCTTAACACCAACTGAATTGCCACCATCCTCAACCTCAATGGTAGCAGAAGGAGGGCATTCATTGCCAGGCACTAGAATCTCCATTTTGCTATCCATTTCCATTGGAAGATCACTCACACCGCATGCAATCACCTTTACTCAAAAAAGGCCTCACCTTGCTGCAACAAAAACAACATACCCTCCATAAGCACTCCTGATCAAGCAACCCATTTTTATTTTTTATAGTTTTTTTGTGTGTTTTTCTATGATTTTTTATTTTTATGAGGAGATGAATAAAGGGGTGGAGAAGAGAGAGGTTAGAAATGGAAAATGAAGATCAAAATAAAGGGGTGGAGAAGCGAAGAGAGAATACTCACAGAGATGCTTGTTAAGAGAGAAGACAAAGGAGGCAGCTTGATAAAATTTTCGTCTTTCGTTTTCAGTGAGTTCAGTACTGACACTCAAAAGCTCATTCGGTGCCTGGGGTTTAGGTCTTAGCTGTCTGCAGTTCTTAAATAGGCTGCTCCTTTAGCCAAAAAATGTTATTTGACGGTGGTCATATTATTAATATTATTAATGTTATTATTAATTAATTTTATTATTAGATCCAACATAACAGTTATATTTATTTATATCTTCGTACAGTTATCATTTTTCATATTTAATGTGAAAGTATTAAATATGAGAAATCACGATTATATATTTATTTTTCATATTTAACTTATATTTATTTTTAATTTTTCATATTCAATATTTTACACTTATTTTTATCTTTATATAGTTATATTTATTTTACCTTTATATAATTATGATTTTTCATATTTAATACTTTTTCATATTTTCATATTAAATATGAAAAATTATAACCATATAAAAATTAAAATAAATTTAATCGTTATATTAACATTATCAACCTAATAATAAAATTAATTAATAATAATAATAATTGATTGTGACCATCGTCAAATAACATTTTTCTACTAAAGAGCAGGCTATTTAAGAATTGCACACAGTTAAAACCTAAACCCCGAAATTTTTTAACGTGGTATAGGACCACCATAATTTTTTCATTTAAAATTTGATACCTGAATTTTTTTATTTTTTTTATCTCTCCTCAACTTTATCTTTCTTTCTCTCCACTTCAGTCCTACCAACCATTTTGTGGTCTGAACTCCAGGCACAATAACTTCGCTCCTAAACCCAGGCACCGAATGAGCTTTTGAGTGTGAGTATTCTATCAAGCTGATAGAAAACGAAGACGAAAACTTTATCAAGCTGCCTCCTTTGTCTTCTCTCTGAATAAACCTCGCTGTGAGTATTCTATCTTCGCTTCCTTCCGTCAAGTTTGAATTTTGATCTTCATTTTCCATTTCTAACCTCTCTCTTCTCCGCCCCTTTATTCATCTCCTCATAAAAATCAACAAAATCATAGAAAAACACAAAAAAAAAAATATAAAAAATGAAAATGGGTTGCTTGATCAGGAGTACTTACGGAGGGTATGTTGTGTTTGTTGCAGCAAGGTGAGGCCTTTTTTGAGTAAAGGTGATTGCATGTGGTTTGAGTGATCTTCATATGGAAATGGATAGCAAAATGGAGATTCCTGTCCCTGGCAATGAGTGCCCTGCTTCTGCTACGATTGAGGTTGAGGATGATGGCAATTCAGTTGGTGTTATGGCTCCAGCTCCATGTAGGTTAGATGCAGGTTTGGGATTTGAAAACGGGGGAGGCTTGGAGATGAATTTGCAGTTGCAAAGAGATATTGAATTCCCCAAAAGGTTCAATCTTTCTCCTTCAATGAAATCCTCATTGAAGAGAAATGTTGCTGTGTTTGCTGCTGGTTTTAAGGAAAAATTCAAAAATTTGCAGACACAGTTTGTTGAGCAGTCTGGAGATTCTCAGAATCTTGATGACAAAGCTGATTTGAGATCAGCGCTGAGTAAATTTAGCAATTTAAATCTTGATGAGGGTATGAAGCTTGTGGAAGATAATGAGAGGGATGATAAGATAATCAAAATAATTCTTCAGATTAAGGATCTTGAGAAATATATCGAAGAGCAAAAAGATTGGGCTCATAAGTCAGTAATAGGAGCAGCAAGAAAGCTAAGCAGTGATCTGACTGAGCTCAAAATGTTAAGGATGGAAAGAGAGGAGACTCTGAAATTGAAGAGAGGGAAACCAACTCTTGATGACTCAACCATGAAGAGACTCTCAGAGATGGAGGATGCCTTAAGAAGGGCTAGTGGTCAAGCAGACCGTGCAAATGCAAACGTGAGAAGAATAGAGTTAGAGAATGCAGAAATCAAAGCAGAGATTGAGGCTTCCAAATTAAGTGCATCAGAGTCAGTGGATGCTTGTAAAGAAGTTGAGAAAAGGGAGAAAAAATTCTTAAAGAAACTTAAAGCATGGGAAAAGCAGAAAGCTAAACTAGAGCAGGAGATTTCTGATGAAAGAGAAAAGGTATTGAAGACACAAGAAGAATTGGCTCAGATTAAGCAGTCTCGAGAAGAAGCTGAGGTTTGCTATTCACTCCCTATTATTTATTTATGCATTGTGACTGTCACACATTGACCACCAAACTCTAAAGAAAATATGGTTTTGCGACATTTGTCTCTGTTTGCATAGAGTGAGGTTATTGATTGGGACATGCATTTCTCATGTCAGAATAAAAGTAACATGTTTCAGCCTCAAGGTGTGTCTCAGTTTGCAAAATTGCAAATTGTGCTCATTGTGGGTGGACTTTACCTGTAGGGAAGGGGCTTGAAACCTATTGGAAGCACCTTCTGGTCAGGGCCAAGCTGATAATACCCAAATGGGGTGGAGTCACCTCATGGTCTTACCCAAACAAGAGTAACATGTTTCAAAATCAGACATCAATATGGCCTAGACTGTTGTGGTGCTCCGTAACCATCGTCACGTTGAAATTGATAGTTTCTGCATAAAAAACTTTGGTTATTTTTTACCCGAGTAATCGAATGCATATCTAACTTCAAAATGTTGTATTTTTCCCTTCTCTTTCTTGAATTTCATACATATTGCATCTGTATCAGTTTATCGTGCATATATGAAGCATGGAGAATTGGAGAGTTCAAAAAAGGAGTCGTGATTGTGTTGGACACATATTTAGCATTTTTGTTTAGCACAACACAGTACTTCAAATTATAAGGGACACTCTAAGTTGTCCGCATTGATGTCCGTGTTTGTGCATATTTGTTAGTATGTGTATGTGCTCACACCAAAGTAGTTAACTGCGGAATGTGTCATGAAGGAGCTTGATGGAACCCAATAATATATCAGATTAACACTAAACAGTGGGAGACTTTCTTCTTACACAGAAAACTCAGTCAAAGACTCAAACAACAGGCTCACAGAAACAAATGATACTTTCAATAATAGAAAATAATAAAAGACAACTAATAGAGGTGAACACTCTCCTCCTACTTGAAATAAAAGACTCAATTAGCGGAAAAACTCTAAATGACTCCCTCAAGGAAAACTATCCCTTGAGACACATAAACACAAATGCAAAAGAAACCCACATATGCTCATAAGGTCAATAACCAAGACCCTAGAGTTCCCCAAATTCCACTCCAATTTACTCAATTCGTGAAAACCCACCCCAAATCACCCCCATATAACTACCCCTCTCTCTTCCAACTAACTGCAATGGACTCCTTTGCATTGCTGGACCTAGGCCCACTTGTCATAGCCCCAACAGACCTACTCCAAAAAATGCTACAACTGCATACACATTCATAATTAGTGCTCAAAATTCAGAGAAGAAAGGAGAACTTGTGTATAAAACAAAGGCTAGAGAGGGAGCACATGTATGCAAAATAGAGGCTGAGGAGGATCTACATGTGAAATATAGGACCTGTAATCTGCTTGCAAACATGTGAGGGTACAGAAGGAGGGTGGGGGGCTCGTGCAAGAAGGGTAGTCAAACTCGAGATCTTACCGAGAATTGGAAAAGGGTTGCAAGATTATAAATCGTGGGATCGAGACGGATCGTTAAAATCTTATGTTCGTAACTTTAATTATCAAAATGATATTTATGCATATTAAATAACATTTGATCTCAACTTCAATTATAAAAGATAACAAATATAAAAGACAACAAAAGAGTTCTAATATAAAAGACAATTCCAAATCATTATCAAATTCAAATCATTCAAGTCACAAAATGAATATGGAGAGTGAATAACCCACAAAACATAGAAGGTAGTATGAAAAACCATACAAATAGAGAAGGGAGAGAAGAGAACGCACCAGAATAGAGAGGAGACACACCACATTGAAGATGCAAACATAGACGGGAGACGAGATGCAATAGAGAATGCGCGGCCGCGGCCGAAGGGTAAGGCTTTGATGCTGGGTGTTGCACGATACATTGAGGGGAGGCTCATTTAGGGTTTCTTTCTTTCCCTTTTCAATACTTAGATGACTTAATTGAAGTATCGGGTCATTTTAAGGCCATTCAAGTCGGGTTATTGAAAAAACGAATGTGTCAAAATTTTGGAAGGGTTTTTCATGAAATCGCAAGGCACAGTGAGATCGAATCGACGCCGTTTTATAAGGGTCATTTTAATGGGCTTTTTCCCTTCCATAGCAAAACAACGTCTTTTTATAAGGTTTTTTTAATTAAAGAGTGCATGACCCATCCAATTTTATATGAACCGGTCAAGTCATTGTTTTTTACAAAAACCAGCTGGGTCAAACTTGTTCATACCACTTCTTGAACATGACCAATCTTGTATGTTACCGGACCAGTTACATGATCGGTTTTCCAGTTTTCGAATTGAATCGGCTTGTCCAAGCTTGTTTTTAAATACTGCCTATAAGGAATGAACGTACATATTACATTACCAAAAAATGGAACATCAGCATATTATGCTTTATTATACTGTTTCCTAAAATATCATAGAGGCATTTTCTTTCCCGGGATTAAGTTTAAACCCATTTATTCATAATATCGATTTTGAAGATAACATATGACATGAAGAATTGAAAGAACTTTTGTGCTAAAACAAGAGAAAATTGCAGGATTTAGAATGCTAAGTTATCAACTTTTTGCTTGAAAGGAAAATTGAATAAAAACAAAAAACAGAAATTGAGTCTAGAGTCATCCAATAAATACATAGCTGCACTAAAAAGGAAAAAAATAGGGGCGAAAGGACAAAAAAAGCATGAATGTTGAACAAATGGACGGCTGGACAGAATCTTGACATAGACATGGTTGGATGGCTGGGTTTGGAATCCTTTGCTGTGATGACCTAAAGTAAGTGTTGAGCTCTGGCGATGCCTTTGCTATCTTTTTTCTTTTCCTTTTTTTCACTTATAGCTAAATTACATTGTTTTATGAGAATTTTTTTTTTAAGTCATCGACCGGTGCAAACCGGTTTGACCCAACGGGTTTGTGTATAATTTGGTGACCTGGCCGGTTTATAGAAATCGGACGGTTCATGTACTCTTTTTTATATTTTTTAAAATAAAACCTCATAAAACGACATCGTTTGGCTATAAGTGAAAAAGAAGAAGAAAAAGGATTGCAAAGGCAATGACAGAGTTCAGCATTTGCATTAGATCACCAGCAAAGGATTCTAGATCCAGCCAGCCATGCTTTAATCTAGCTCACTTAATAATTTTCTGAATGTTGATACGGCTCTGGTTTGTGAGTGTGAGTTTACAGAGGAAAGAATGGAGGAAGATGAAGGAAAAAGTATATGTATTCTGTATTGATGTGTAAGAATTGTACGAGGGCTTAGCCCATATGAGGGAGAGGTCCCTTTCACTGAGTAATAGCCTCAGTCAACAGAATATGTATCAAGAACTTTCCTCCTACAATATACCTTCCGTACCCCAGGATTCCCTCCACACTTGATTCCTACCGTATCAAATGCTCTAACTTACTAATGTTTGGCTTCTGACACTGCTACCATTGATTGAGCCAATTATGAATAAATAATTTTGAGCCTTGTGCTGTTATTTGGCATCAACTATACTAGATATGGAAGTAGTGAGATAATAGTGTTTTGTATCCCATGTGCAGTCTTAGTAAAGTATTTGGCATCACCTAAGTATTGATGAATTTTCTACTTTATGATTGAATTCAAAAAACAGTCTCTTTGCAAAATTGTAAGAGTAAGGCCTCATACGAGCATTTTCTCATCCCTACCCTTGCAATTCCGGTTTTATGGGCAGTTGGTTTCATTTTTATTTTTTATTTTTTGAAGTATTGATAAAGTGTAAAAGCTGTATTGATACTGGCACTGTTTGCTATTTTAGGTTTCTCTATGGTATATTGGTTCAAATTAGGATGGATTCATTCTTCTCTACGAATACCAAAAAAACCGGCTGGAACTTTGTACAGATTTTAAATCCAAATTGTCAATGTTTTGTGTTTGGATGTACTTGTAATGAACCTCAAAAGTTAGTTATGTGAACTGTAATTTGATCTCACTGATCTTTAAGGCAGCATCTTTTTCTTCATTTGTTCTCTGAATCACTGTAAACAGCTTTTTGGTTACTTCATATGGTTCAAACTGTGCATTCCTACATTAGACTTATCAGAACATAGTTTTGAGTGTGGGTATTTTCAACTTTATATTCCTATTGGCACCATGGTCTTTCTTTGGATGCATTCTTCCAAACTACTCTGGATCATAGAAACCACCTTGCCATCATATTATGAGATGTATCTCTGCAGTTTGAGTCTAGCTTTGATTCATTAGGACAGTGTCTATCATTGTTTTCTTTCTCGTTCTACCACCTTACACGTGTTACTTTGAACCATTCATTCTGTGTAATAACTTATTACAGGTCAAGTGGAAGGAAGAGTTGAAGGCCAAAGAGGAAGCCCTAGCACTAGTTGAGGAGGAACGCCAAGCTAAGGAAACTGCTGAGTCTGAAAATAAGAGGAAGCTTGAGGCTTTGCGCGTGAAGATAGAGATAGATTTCCAGCGCCACAAGGATGATCTATCAAGACTTGAGGAGGAGATTTCGCGCCTTAAAGCATCTGCTCAGTCTGCCGAGTCATCATCGATGACTAACTCTGAGGATGCAATGCCCCAGTGGGAGACAGCAATTGCTAATCTGCTTCAAGACTTAGATGACATGGAGGATCATTCGGAGAAAGAAGTGAAGAGCAACAGAGAATGCATTATGTGCATGAAAGATAGAGTCTCCATTGTTTTCTTGCCGTGTGCTCACCAAGTTATGTGTGCTAGTTGCAGTGCTGAGCATGGAAGAAAGGGTAAGACTTCTTGTCCTTACTGCCGGGTTCAAATCCAACAGAGAATCCGTGTGTTTGGGATAGGCTCGTAGCTTATTTTAGAGTTCTGTTTCAATAGGACTTTGTAAGATTAATCGATTAGGGTTGCAATATTACTCCCTCCCCCAAATGGGGGGTTTTTAAAAAACTCATATGTCAAGATTTAATCGATTAAATAAGGATCTTAATCGATTAAATCACGGAATTTTAAAAAGAGTCTGCCGTGATTTAATCGATTACGAAGGAGATTTAATCGATTAAATCAGGAGTCAACATTTTATGTATTTTTTGGCCGTTTAATCGATTTAAGAGGGGCAGGTTGGTGGATAGTTTTAAATCAGGAGTCAATATTTTATGCATTTTTTGACCGTTTGTGTGTAGTGTTTAATGGGTGTGTGTGTTGCAGTTCGATTCCCATGTACTTCAAAAAAAATCTATTAAATTATGAACTTAATCGATTAAAGAGGGGCAGGTTGGTAGATAGTTTTGAATAAGGGGCAAAAATTAATGAAGGACAAAAGAGTCAAAAAGCCATAAGTTGGTGATAATTTTAATTTATTGATGCGATGCTAGATTTCAAGGATATTATTTTCAGATTTTGAGAAAAAAAAAAAGAGAGGATATTTTGAAATTTTATTTGTTTCTTACTGCATAATTTTTTCTTCTTCAAAATATCTTCTTTTTTTTAAATTTTTAAATAACTTATTTTGAATTACATAATATAATTTTGTTTCTACTAACAAAAGAAATATTAAACTTATTAATTCATAATTTGTTGTCAATAAAATGAGGATTTCCAATTGTTGAATGATGTGTGTTTCAAAAATTTAATCCTTTTTCATTAACAATTTAATTGGATATTTATGTTTTAATTCATGGTTCATTGATAATTTTGTACCTATTTTTAAAAATATTTATCGCTTTTCCCTTATCCCAAATTATATATCAATATGTCTAATTTTATTAATTGACCGATACTTACTTAAATAGTTCGGGTCACTTAGTTGAGTAAGTAATTTAATCAAGTAAAGAATCCCTTACTCAAGTGAGTGACTCACTTAAGGCCTGTTTGTAAGGGCTTCTTAAAAATGTGCTTTTTATACTTACTTATTTTAAAAGTATTTTTTAGAAAAGATAGAGCTATTTAGATTTTTAAAAAAAAATATTTGAATTAAAAAAAACATTTGACTTTTGATTTCTGTTTTTTAGAAGCTAAAGTTTTTAACTTCAATTTTTTTTTGACTTTTTTGTGATTTCTATTTTTTTTAAACAGACATCCAAATGGATTTTTGTAGTAAAAGTATTTTTTTTCTGAAAAAAATAGCTTTTAGCTAAAAAAAAAAAGCCCATTTAAAGAGGGTTGGGGTCCGTTTGGATGGGATTTTTTCTACAAAAGCTGTTTTTTTTTCAAGAAAAAAAAGCACTTATCATCTTAAGTTCGTTTGGATGTTTGCTTTTAAGAAAATTAGAAATCACAAAAAAAAAGTCAAAAACTTACATTTTTTTAGAAGTTAAAGTTTTAATTTCTAAAAAAGCAGAAGTCAAAAATTAAATATTTTTTTCAAAAACTAAATATTTTTATAAAAATATAAATAGCTTTAACTTTTATAAAAAACACTTCTAAAATAAGAAAGGGGTACGATATTATCAGTGTTTAAAAACCTGGACTGGCCATCGACCCGGCCGAGGTCAGGGGTCACTACGCTGACCTGATTTTATATATTAAAAAAATATAAATATATATATCCTATATGAAAATATTAAAAAACAAACCACTAATCATCAAAGATTCAAAGTATACTTAACATAATTAATCAATTACAACCACAAGTAATATTAAACAACCTAATTAAAGTATCAAGATACCAAAGTACAAAACTCATATTCTAATGGAGTCACTACGCTGACCCGGTTCTGCCTCTTTTGAGAAGGTCCCTAATAAAGAAAAATTTAAAAGAAGTAAAAATGAGTGTTTGTTTTCCATCAATGTCCGTAAGAATTTCATTTGAATGTGTAAAATTTTTATCTTTTCTAGAAGATTCACGACAGCGAGGTGAAGATTGAAGACATCTAGGTCACTGGGAGAGAAGAGAACGATTAGATTTAGGTTTGCAAGCATTTTTTTTAATAAAACGATGTCGGTTTATGGATTTTTTAAATAAAAAAACATGCAGTGACCCCTTTTGATCCCTCTGACTCGGGAGTCACTGAAACCCGCCCGGGTTTTGGGGTCGAAGGCGTCGATATGCATATAGGGACCAACTTGAGACCCTAACTCTCAGAGAGAAGGGGTCAGAGTTGACTCGGGTCAACCCGGGGGGCGGGGTGAGATTTTAAAACACTAGATATTATAACAACCAATTAGTGTTACTACCAATTAATTTCACTATTAGATCGAGTATGTTAATGCAATGATTATATTTATTTACATCTTTGTATGGTTATGATTTCGCATATTTAATGTAAAAGCATTAAATATGGGAAATATAACCATACATAGGTGAAAATAAATATAAAGTATTAAATATGAGGAATCATAACTATACAAAGGTAAAAATAAATATAACTGTTGGATCAACGAAATCGATTTAACGGTAAAATTGATTGGTAGTAACATTAATAGTAACACTAATTGATTGTTACAATATCCTTCCCCAATAAGAAATAGATAAAAACTATTTTTTCTATAAGCCCAAAGAAACGAGTTCTTAATCAAATAAGAAATCGATCAAAGTGATTATGTTTTCAAATCCCTTTTTTTACTTAAGTAAGAGGGTCATTTCACTCCCTCTCCAATCCATGTCCGAAAATTTATTTCTCAACGCTTCAGAAACTCAAAATATGATTATATCACTCAACCCCATTCCTAATCTATTATGTTTCTCCTGGATTTTTCAGATTTTTAGAGGGAAAGTCTACAAAGGTAAACCCTTTTTCATTTCTTTATGTTAAGGAACTCCAAACTTTTTTTCCAAATCGTTTGAATCTCAGTACTGTTATTATTGTTGTGAGATACAATGTTTAAATCTCAATATTATTGTGAGAAATGTAGGATTGTCTTCAAACTTTCATGATGTTATTTCTTGCTCATAAACTATTTAATGAAATGCCTGTGAAATGCTTCAATTTTTTGTGTTGTTAGATGCAAAACTGAAAACAGTGTATCTTGGAAGTGGCCTAATTTTTGTAATGAAATTTTTTTTTTTTTTTTTTCTATTTGGAAATGAAAGCAGTGTAGGAAAAACTTGGCCTAATATATAAACTTATTTTACCTTCATGATGAAAGTAATGTATCTTCATTAGGCATTCTCAATTCCTTTATTATTTTAATACTTCATATGCTTGTGTTCAGAGTTTATTTGATCGGCTTTTTCTTTTCTTTAGGCATTAAGAATTTAGGCTTCATTAGTCATTTTCTTATGCTTCCTTTATATGTTTGATATTTATTATCTTTAACTCTAATTTTATGATGCACGTGAATAGGCACCAGAAAGTCCTTTTGTTTAAATTTCATTGCGTTATAAAAGCTCTCATGTTAGTAGCCGTCTAGGTGACTTGACAAAAATAATGAAATATCTAACCGTCGTTTTGTTTTCCTTTAACAAATACAGAGGTATAACATGGTCGGTATGTCAGGCGGGTCCATGGCAGAGCCCGTGGCGGGGGACCACCACTAATGGGCTAAGCTACACCAACCGTAGCAAGCAGGTCCGCCACCACATCTCAATCGAAAACCTTAAGGCATTGAGTTCTTAATGGGTCCATCCATTAATGGTTTTATAAGTGATGAAGCATTAATGGTTTTATATTATATCTCTTAACAAAAATAATTAATTAATAGTTAATACATATCTGAATAAGTTTTTTATTTTTTTCCTTAAGATTAGACGGCTAATGTAAAAAATTGTTTTCAAAGAGGGTGTGGATGACAACCATTATGTTCTCCGGGCACTGATTCTTAGATGAAACAATTTTTTTTGATTATGTGCTTTTGAAGAGTTCCATAATTACATTTGTTAATACTTTTTTTTTATTCTGAGAATCAGAATTACATTTACTAATACAATACAAATCTATTTCTTTACTTTTTGTTTACAGATTTCATCAACTATATAAATAACAAATTGCAATAACCAAAATGTCAACATTTCATATTTTTAAAAAAAATATCTAAAAAATAATATTTTATTGTGTAATTTTTTTTACAACAAATGCTAAAATATAGTTTTAACCATTATTTTTCATCCTCTTCTCCTTCACCTTCTCCTTCACCTAATTGCCATCTCGTTCCTCATTTGTCCCTCTTCAAACAAAACCATAATATTAAGAGTAAATACCATTTTGGGTCCCTAACAAAAAACAAGGTCCCTACTTTAGTGCCTTACATAAAAAAATTAGCGAGTTGATCCCTAACAAATTCAAAGTGGACCCATTTTAGTCTTTTTGAGGGACTAATATGGGTCTTTTTTGAAATTGTGAGGGACCATGATTTCAACTAAATGGGTCCACTTTGAATTTGTTAAGGACCAACTGACTAATTTTTTTGTAAGGGACTAAAGTGGGGACCGTGTTTTTTGTTAGGGACCAAAAGGGGTATTTACTCTAATATTAATAGCTATCAGCGCAACGCCATAGTCGTTAATTAAGAACCTTCTCTTCTTTTTATGATTTTCTGCTATGACTCTAAACTTGTGCACTCCTTGCTTCTCTCCTCTACTTCATCACCCTTCTTCTTATCTCCCCAAAGTCTCTGAAACATGTGCCAACCACGCGACTGACACTCATTTTCCTCCTCTCTTGTTCACTACTTCCTCACTTCCCAACCTATCAAGGTTCCTCAACGCTAAAGCTTTCGTCAGTGAAAGCCATAATGAAACTTCCGACGACCCCATTTCCGAGTCTAACCTATTGGACCAACAACTTGTGCGCCACCAAAAGATTTCGACCAAGCATTGCAAATGATCACTGATAACTCTACCGAAAGATTTCAATGCCACATTATCAAATATTGTTTCCATTCGTTTTTGTTATCACGTACAGAAATTAAAAAAAATAGCATCTTTGCTCTCAGTCGGATTGCTGACATAATGATTCTTCCTTGGATGCTGTCTTTCCTTTCGTTTTTCGTTACATGTAAAAATTTACTAAACATAAAGCTTCTACCTACATGCCTCATTTGCTCCGTTGAACTTTCATTCATTAAGGCATCAAAGAACTAAATTGACAAAAAAAAAATTCAACTTAAAAAACTAAATTGACTAAAAAAATTAATAAAATACGGAACCAAATTAAGTTAAAAAAATTGAAGGAGAAAAATTGA